TGCTGATGATGATGCGGATGATGCTGATGATGCTGATGATGATGATCATGCTGGTGCGCATGATGATGATGCTGGTGCGCATGATGATGCTGATGATGATTATGGCGATGCTGATGGTGATGATGATGATGCTGCTGATGGTGACGATGAAGACGCTGCTGATGATAGAAAATGCTGCTGATGATGAAGCTGCTGATGATGATGTCGATGATTATGCTGATGATGATGGTGGTGGTGATGATGATGACGGCGATAATTGTGATGCTGCTGATGATGATGATGATACTTATGATGGCGATGATGATGATGCTGATGATGGTTATGATGATGCTGATGATGATGATCATGGTGATGATGGTGGTGGTAATGATGATGCTGTTCAGGAAGATGATGCCGCTGCTGCCGCTGATGATGATGATGCTGATGATGATGATGGTGATGCTGACGATGATGATGATGATGATGATGATGATGACGATGATGATGATGATGATGATGATGATGATGATGATGATGATGATGATGCTGTCGCTGATGATGATGATGATGATGATGATGATGATGATGATGATGATGATGATGATGATGATGATGATGATGATGATGATGATGATGATGATGATGATGATGATGATGATGAGGATGATGAGGATGAGAGGATGATGATGATGATGAGGATGATGAGGATGATTGAGGATGATGATGATGATGATGATGATGATGATGATGATGATGATGATGATGATGATGATGATGATGATGATGATGATGAATGAGGAGAGGAGGAGGAGGAGGAGGAGGAGGAGGAGGATGGAGGGATGGAGGGATGGAGGGTTGGAGGGATGGAGGGATGGAGGGATGGAGGGATGGAGGGAGGAGGAGGAGGAGGAGGAGGAGGAGGAGGGGAGGAGGAGGAGGAGGGTGAGGAAGAAGAGGAGGAACACGAGGAGTAACAATACGAGGAGGAGGAGGAGGAGGAGAAGGAGGAGGAGGAAACGGAGGAGGAGAAAGAAGAGGAGGAGGAGGTGGAAGATGAGGAAGAGGATGGGGAGTCTGGATGAGGAGGAAGAGGAGGATGAGGAGGAGAACGAGGAGGAGGAGGAGGAGGCGGAGTAGGCGGAGTAGGCGGAGTAGGCGGAGTTGGCGGAGTAGGCGGAGTAGGCTGAGGCTGAGGAGGAGAAGGCGGAGGCGGAGGCGGAGGCGGAGGCGGAGGCGGAGGCCGAGGAGGAGGAGAACGAGCAGGAGGGGGAGACGGAGGAGGAGGAGGCAGAGGCGGAGGCGGAGGCGGAGGCGGAGGCAGAGGAGGAGGAGGAGGAGGAGGAGGCAGAGGAGGAGGAGGAGGAGGAGGAGGAGGATCCAGAGGAGGATCCAGAGGAGGAGGAGGAGGAGGAGGAGGATGCGGAGGAGGCGGAGGAAGAGGAGGAGGAGGAAGAGGAGGAGGAGGAGGAGTAGTAGGAGGAAGAGGAGGAGGATGAGGAGGAGGAGGAGGAGGAGGAGGAGGAGGGGGAAGAAGAAGAGGAGGAGGATGAGGACGTGGAGGAGGAGGAGGAAGACCAGTCTAAACCTAAGAGTCGTCAGCGATGTTGAACTACTCCCTTCCCCCAAGCTCCCGCTTCATAGGCCCCATACAACGAATTATTTCCACAGGGAACTGCCTCGTCGGAAGGCAACCGTTTGAAGACCCTAAGCATGCCAAACTATCGTTCTCTGGTTTACACCGCCACGGATCATTATGATGGTTGCGTCTTGGCGATCCGGAATCATTCCAGAACGCCATTCCTGCGATTTCAACGCAGCGACTCAACGTAACTGTTGCATCCTCAGAATCGCGAAGCCTTCCAAACCACCACTCCTGGTACGTAGATCATGGGAATCCTTGAAAACTCGTGCAAAGTATAAAACGAATGTGCGCGGCGCTAAGGCGAGAGCCACATTAAAACAACGGGTCGCCCTCAGTCCGTAAAACTCTTGCAACAGTTTAGACCGATGTGCGCGGCGCTAAGGCGAGAGCCACATTTTGAAAACGGGTCGCTCGCGATCCGTGCAATTCGTGCATATTAAAAAAGGAATGTGCGCGGCGCTAAGGCGAGAGCCACATGTTGAAAACGACCCGCGCTCTTTACATGTGTTTACACACATGTATTTATATGCATACATGTATTATAGTATTAGGTTCGTGAATTGAATACAGGCGGTCCATAGAAAAAAACCTGCCTGCCGGAATCTTCAAAACATCTTCGGCCGGAAACTCAAACTCCCAAAACATGCTAAATAATCTTGAATGGGAAACTCAAAATCCAAGACAACCTGAGGAAATCTCCAACACAAAACCTTGGGAAAACTCAAGCACAGAAGAAACTACAGAAAATCTTGAAGCCGAAACCTGGAAAACATTAAAACCCACAAAAGACTTAGAAACAACCTGAAGCTCAATCCCGGAAACAACTCAATTTTCCAGAGTTTTTCCATAATTTGAAGAGTTTCCCAGAGTTGCTATACAGTTTTTTATTATTAAAGATCTTTCAAGCGTTTAGAGTTTTTTAGTTTTATTCAGCGTTTTTTTTTCCTCCTTCTTCTCTCCTTATATATATATACACATAGAATTTTTAAGTCGTTCAGAGTTTTGCCAGAGCTTTTTTTTAAAGAGTTCTTTTAAAGTTGGTTTATAGTTTTTTGTCCAGAGTTTTTTTCCAGAGTTGCTCCATAGTTTTCCCAGAGTTTTTCCCAGGTTTCGGCTTAGAGTTTTTGTGGAGTTTTTGTTTGGTTTGAGTTCTTTCCCCGGTTTGAGCTTCAGGTTTGTTCCTATATTTTTGTGGGTTTGAGTTTTTCGCAGGTTCGGTGTTTGAGTTTGTTTCAGGATGTCGACCTCCCCAGGTTTGGTTTCAAGATTTCCTGGTGTTTTCTTTGGTTTGTTTTTTGGCCCGAAGTGGTCGTGGACCGCCTGTAGTCGCAATTCACGAACCTAATCATAGTATACATGTATGCATATTCGATTCAATTTTAAGTTATAGAGATAAAGAATAAATCTCTAAGCTTCAGGATCATCAATGATGAGGCAGTCTCAGGCGAAACGCCCAGCCCGCCCTAAAAACTGGCCTCGGGTTGCGACAGGGATACGTTTTTGTGAGGAAAGGGAATGGAGGATGAGGAGGAGAAGGAGCAGGAGGAGCTGGAGGAGGGATAGGAGGAGGAGGAGGAGAAGGAGGAGGAGGAGGAGGAGGAGGAGGAGGCGGAGGAGGAGGAGGAGGAGGAGGAGGAGGACGATGATACTGTGTGGTGCGGCGCTGTGTGGCCAAACGAGGGCCCAATAATGCCCACGATGGGCCCAACAGAGGCCTCATGCGGGCCCCAAAGGGGCCCAACACGGCCCCACTTGCACCCAAGAAGGGCCCAATAGATGCCCAATGAAGGCCCAAATTGGCTCCACCCTACCCGAATCCCGAAGATGCCAGGAGTGTCTAGCGTCCTGGTGCCAGAGCGGCGCCCAGAGGCCCCGAGAAGCTACCAGTGACCCCAAGCGGACATTAGAAGGCCACCATTAGGCTTTACGTCGCTAGGCAGAAGGGGAATATGTGGTTTGGAGTATTGGGCTTGCTACGTCACCTGCGTATTATGCCTGGAGGGCTGGTGGGGGCTCATGCCGATGAATCGCCCGCCTAGGTCGAGCCAGCTCGACGACGTAGTATCGTAACATCTTGTCCGTTGCTCTCCTCCTCGTCCCATCGCGGGCTTCGGCATTTCAACCTTTGGTGAAAGGACATCGTGTACAACACGGATGGCGCCCGTGTGGCTCGCGCTGCCAATTGCCATGCCGGTGATCAAGGGGCCAGACAGGGTAGCGACGGTTGTCATGGCGCCAACACCGCAGAGCGGATTTCGTTCGCAAAACAGCAAGATGGGCCCGGAGTGTCCTGCAGAATGTCGTTCCGGATTTCGAAGTGAATTTCGTGCGGATTTTCCCTGGCCAGGAACGACGACCACGAAGCATCCACGTGAAAATCGCTCCGTTTTTCCCTCGCCGCCTCGGGGCTCTGCGTTGGCAGACATCCGCGCAAAAATCCGCTGCAGCTCGCCTGCAAGGTCGGTGAGGGGACAGTTGGGCCAGCCGGCCTTGACGGACACGTCGTGTCCAGGGGTGCGTGCGACAAGAGCCCGCCGTCGTGCCAGCGACGCACCACCCTGCGTGGCGACCCCTCGATCACCGCCCCGTCGGCGGTCACGTGCGACACCTCTCGTCTCGAAATCCTCCTCCTCCTCCTCCTTGCTTCTCCTTCCTCCGCCTCCTCCTTTCTCCTCCTCCTCCTCCTCCTCCTCCATCTCCTCCTCCTCCTCCTCCTCCTCCTCCATCTTGTCCTCCTCCATCTCCTCCTCCTCCTCCTCCTCCTCCATCTCCTCCTCCTTCTCCTCCTCCTCCTCGACATGCGGTCACGTGCGAGTGCTCTGGGTCTCTTAAAATGCGTCCGGGGGGCGGCACCCCCGCCGACAGCCCCACATCGACCCCCGTCGCGGGCGGTCACCGCGCGCCGAAGGCTCTCCGACCCCCGTCGCGGCGCGACGACGAGGCGAGGTTGACCCCCGTCGGGGGGGTACCCCCCCAGGGAGGCGTCGGGTCATCCAGGAAGCTTCGGGAGAGGAGGGGGGACAGTGCATGCATCACTGCGCTGAGAGATGGGGCCTTAGAATACTCCCTGAAACCCTACCAGGCAGCACTTGGCATTCTATCGTGCCTCAACGTCTGAATAAGAACAACCACACAACCGCAATCTTTCGGATGTCCGCGCAAATTCTGTCGATCGGCACTGGACGCCCCTCCGTGGAGTGCGCCAGGGGCCAGGGCGCTCAGCGCCGATCCAAGACATCTGCGCGGACCTCCGACAGTTTATGTTTATGCTTTTTTGTCCTTCCTCTCATCGTGGTGGCGCATGCGCCAGGGGTAACGGTGGCGCATATGCCGTCGATTTGCAGCGCGCAGCGCTGTCAGGCTTTGCCCGAGCATGCGAATCGACTGTCAGGCTTTCATCGCCGCATGTGTTTTAGCCCCACGCTGGTCTTGCAAGTAGGCCTCACGGTGCCACTTGAAGGTGTGCGCGTGTGTGTGTGTGTGTGTGTGTGTGTGTGTGTGTGTGTGTGTGCGTGCGTGCATGTGCGTGTGTGTGTGTGTGTGTGTGTGTGTGTGTGTGTGTGTGTGTATGTGTGTGTGTGTATGTGTGTGTGTGTGTGTGTGTGTGTGTGTATCGTCTCTTGATTTTGACTTGGGGTGGTTCGGCCTTGCATTCTGGTCGCAGCGACGAGAACCCTAGTCGCGTTCCAAGGCAGACGTGGGGTGCACATGGCCGAAATGGGCACCGTGGAACGCGGGAGGAAGCGCGTGGGGAACGGGAAAGAGCTCGCTCAGGGAATGTAGCCCTTCGGCGTGAGTGCCAGCGTCCTCAGCGCAGCGTGGAGGTGGCAGACGCGGAGGGCGCGGAGCTCGAAGTCGGCAGGCTACGACCTGGGTGGCAGCAAGACCCAAGACTAGGTGGGGGCACCAGTGCACCGTGCTTCGGACTTGCACGTGCCCTCCTCCTCCTCCTCCTCCTCCTCCTCCTCCTCCTCCTCCTCGGGGGGTCTGCAGAGGGACCATACGCCTCTTCTCCCCTCCTCCTCCGCCCATGCGGGGGCCACCGAGAAGCGGGGAGGACCAGCCGAAGACCGCCGAGACGCCGCCGAGACGCCGCCCAGGATCGCCTGAAGCAGAGAGGGATTCTGGGGGCAAGGGGGCCCTTGGCCGTTTCTCGGCGGCGAGCGAAGGGGGGAAGTGAGAAGGAGAAGGCCTTCTCAGAGGGCGGCGGGACTTCTCAGAGGCCCTCGCGCCTTCTAAGAAGCTTTTGTGTCTCCGGGGAAGGCTCAGAAAGCTTTTCAGAATGCCGGGGGACTTCCGGGCCTTCTGAGAAGGCCCGTCTCTTCTCACTTCCCCCCACGCGCTCGCTGCCGATTTTCTGACCCCCCTCTCGGGTTCCCATGCAGGGGCGGTCAGAGAGCGACCTGCGGGACGCAAGCCCACCGCCCCGCGGGGTGCCAGATACTTTTTTTGGGGGGTTCCCCTCCGAAGAGGTGCGAGCGGGCTGCTTGCTGTCGGAGCGCTCCAGCATAGCCGGGCTCATCGAACTGGCTGCGCGTAGAACATGTTCCGCGTGGCTGGCCAAGCGTGCGCCGGGATTTACGTCAGGAAGCGCGGGCTCTGTGGTTGCAGCCGTCTGCTCGGCCGCGCCTCGTGGGGCGAGGGTGCCGCAGTAGCAGCCTGGAGGCTCGCGCTGACTGAATCGCGACATGCAGCACTTCTGTAAGCTGCTGGGCTGACGCCCGCGGGAGGACAAGTTCGTTTCCCCAGTGTGCAGTGCTGAACCTTCCCGCGTGCAGGCACACCGCTGTCGGCGTAAAAAGGAGGGATTGGTCTGGGTGGTACTTGACGTGCATGCTCTGCCAGAGACGGGGTGCGAATCTCATCTAGGTGCCGGGGTCCATTGAACAGACGGAGCTCCATTCTTCATCATCCTCATCCTCTTCATCTCTCCTCCTCATCCTCGTCATCCTTCCTCCTCCCCCCTTCGTTCCCCTCCCCCTCTCCTGGGCCAGTTCTGGGCACAAGATGGACGGATACACATTTCTGCTCAGGTTGGGTGGGCGTCGTGTGTGCTAAGAGGCGGTGCGCTCCTTGGCTGTCCCCGACGAAGTCTGGGCCGCAGCTGCACGCAGCCAGCTAAGCCTGCTTCCGCCATGCCTGTCATCCTCGCCCTGGGCCCCCCTGCCGCAGGACACCTACATCATCTTCGGCGAGGCCAAGATCGAGGACCTCAGCGCGCAGGCCCAGGCGCACGCTGCCGCCTTCTCTCCCGCCCCGCCCGCCCGCTGCCTCTTCCCGACCCCAGCCAGGCCCAGGCAGCCACCACTGGCGACGCGGCCCAGCGCTGCTCATGGTTGTCCAGGAGGGAGAAGGGAGGAGGGAGGAGGGAGGAGGGATGCACATGTGACGCGCCGGCGCCCGCCTCTGTGGGCTGTGTCTTCGGGCAGGTCTCGTCGGTGACGATGGTGGTGGTGGTGGTGGCCGCGGTGGCGGGCGGGCGCTGTGAGGACGGAGGAGGGGGCAGGAGTTGGTGGGAACCGGGGCAGCAGCAGGCACGGAAGCGGCAGCAGACTCGGGAGCATGGGTGCGATGACGAGGTTGATGATGATGATGATGACGATAATGGTGGTGGTGATGGTGAGGTTGCGGCTGATGAGGATGATGATGATGGTGATGATCAGTGATGATGATTCTGAGGATGATTCTGCTGCTGATGATGATGATGCTGATAGTGACGATGATGCTGCTGATAATAGTAATACTGATGATGCTTATGCTGATGCTGACGATGATGATGACGATGATGACTACTGCTCTTGCGACTACTACTACTACTACTACTACTACTACGACTACGACTACCACTACCACTAATACTGCTGCTATCAAGACCTGCT